CATAAGATTTTTCTCGTTCAATGTTCATTTTAGCCTCCTGGTACTGGTAAATCATATTTAGCTAAAGCTATTGCTACTGAATGTAAAAGTACATTCATTTCGGTGAGCTCGTCCGATCTTCTCTCGAAATGGTTGGGTGAAAGTGAGAAAGGTGTGAAAGGTCTATTTGAACTTGCTCGTGAACGACAACCATGTATTGTATTTATTGATGAAATTGATGCTCTATGTGGACAACGTAATGACACTGAATCTGAATCATCAAGACGTGTCAAAACTGAATTTCTTATTCAAATGCAAGGTACATCTACTATGTCTGTTTATAGCAATGAATAAATCTTATATTTTGATGTTTGACTAGGTGTTGGAACAGATAATTCAGGTGTTCTTGTTCTTGCTGCCACTAATATTCCTTGGACATTGGATACAGCTATTCGACGACGGTATATATTTGACAACAAAAATATCTTCCATATTTATTATTTGAACTTTGTTTTGTAGTTTTGAAAAGCGAATCTATATCCCACTACCTGGTGTGAATGAGCGAGCAGCTATGTTTAAAACACATCTGGGCGTTAATAGTTATCATACAATAAAAGAACACGAATGGATGCAATTAGCAGAAAAATCTGAACAGCAAGTTTTTTTTGTTTTTTTACGTGAAAGAAGATAACAATGTTTATTTTTAGTTATTCTGGTGCTGATATAGCTGTTGTTTGTCGAGAAGCATTACTAAGACCTATTCGACGACTTGGTTCAGCAACTCATTTCAAACGAGTACGTTTCTTCAATCTTTGTTACTTATTGAATAACTTGATGATTTTATCATAGGTGCCAAATCCAAAGCCTGATGGTCCTCGACAGCTTTGGCTTGTTTGTTCACCTGGAGATCCAGATGCTCAAGAACTAACATTAGATAAAATAAAATCTGATGAATTATGTGAACCACCAGTCTCCATGGTTTGTATTTATAAATTATTTAGCGTAGAAATCAATACTCATTTTATTATTTCTAGTCGGATATGTTAGCTGCTCTTGCTACACAAAAA